ACCTGCCCCATCTCTAAGTCAGAAAAAGACTTCATCTGACATGTTGATTTAGAACTTGACAAAGTAAGTGATTACTTATCCAATATAACTCAATCAATACACACTCACAAACAGACAAACTGGAACTCATCTGCTAACCACCCTATGAAGGGCCAGAAAGTAGTTTAGTGTTAAAAAAAAAAAAAAAAAAAATCACCAAAACTCAGAACTCCTGAAGCAAGCAAAAGCAGTTCTTCTGCATCCATTACAGAGCTTGGCCTGATCTCTAAGCGAGCATCTGAACTTCTACAGTTACAACAGTCAGAAGTGACTGGTTTTGACATTACAGAACAGACACTATGCTCTTATCATTTCCCTTCAACGATGGGTTATGCAGTTTATCTACATTGAATTAAAATATTTTATGTTTTCCGAGAACGTTCCAGGTCATTCATCTTCAAATGCTGTGAAACAAGAATAGCACAAGAATCTTGCACTTTATTCAAACCATTCATTATTTTATCTAACTTAAACAGTTCTGCCTTCTCTATCTTCCAAGATAAATATTCCTCATCCCTTCAGTTTCTCTTTATACAAGAGTTTCTGAGAGAGAATCAAAATTTTTGCAATATCTTTTAATTGGTGGGTAGAAACTAATGTCACATTAGAGATTATGCAACCCAATAACGTACTGGACATCTACTAGATCTCCACCATTCTGCTGCTTCTACAACTCGGACAAACTCTCAAGGGGAGAAAAAAGTAGATTAGATTTGACTGCTTGAAGCAGGCAAGATGTATTTTCATAATGCCAATTACAATGTGTCAGTAGGTTCAAATTAAACAATCTGCTCCCCCACGTACAGCAATACTTCCAACACAGAACTCTAAGCGCTGAAATTACAAAAACAAAAAAAAAAAAGTCCAATTCCACTTGTGTTTGGGACCAACATCACTTCTCACAGTTCCTGACAACAACTAGGACAGCACCAGTTTGCTTAGTGTTGGTTTCCCACCTTCAGTCTCACCACTCAAGTCTCTTTCCAAGAGATTAGGAAAGCTTTCAATAAAGCACCAGGGAACATTTCTACAGTTCAAGACCCTCAATTACATAATTTTTTTGCTGTTGTAATTAAAAAGTTAGATACTGCCTAACAGGGACAGTAGTTCTTATTCAGTAGTTTCTTATTCTCATCCAAACCACATTCAATAAACAGGAAAAATGATTATTTGGAAACCCTCCAAACTACCACTGAAACAGTCAGCCCTCCTCCACAGAAGAGACTTCTCTCTCAGATTTCTGACTATAACTGTACCATAAAAAGGGAGAGGAGAGCCAAGAAGGCAGTGGAAGACCAATCCCAGTAAGCCTGGGAACTCGCTCGCAGCACAAGGTGCCAGCCCCAGGACAGGCTGTACCTCCTGTGCTGCACAAGCCGGGCAGCCAGGCTTGCACCAGAGACCTCAGTGTCCTGCCACCTCAGTCTGCCCATGACTGGCACTCAGCTCCCAGGGAGCTGCAGAGAAAAAAAAGTAAAAACAGTAGATCTGCATGCCAGTTCACACAACAAAAACTGCTGGCTTATTTTACAAGTCCTGCATAAGTCAAATAGGTAGATTTAACAGCAGGGTTGAGCAGTGTTCCTGGGGGAGCACCCAAATGGCACATAAGGCATATTTTATGAAGGAAGTAACTGACATTTTCTGGACCAAAAAAAAAAAAGGTAAACTTTCCTACAAACACTAGAGATGAGCAACAGTTCCTTTATCTGAAGACTGATGCTCAACATGCCATGCCTGCATTCCCTTCCCAGTGCATACCATTAGAGTCAAATGTCTTCTTGTACACCTTCCTGCTACAAAAATAAACCCCATTAGAGTCAAATGCTTCTTTGTACATCTTTCTGCTATAAAAATAAACCCCATCAATTCACAGATTTTGCTCTAAGCAGGTTTTAGAGCCCACTGCAGGTACTGCACTGATGAAAAAGACACCACCATCCAATAAAAAGCCAGGAAGATTCAACCACCTAGACAGACCACAAACTTAAAATAGAAGAGATTAAAATAAAAACTCCAGAATACCATTTTGCTGCAGGCGGTGCATCAGATAGAGCCCAATTATGATGCCTGACATTGTCACTCAGCTGATTCAGGTTCAGTTGGGTCAAGTTTGGCAAGTAATATGTGAGAAATGTTCATGGAGCTGTACCTGGTGATCCTCTGAGACGGACCAGTAAAGACCCCAAGCCTCATCTTGTGGCAAAGGGCACTGCAGGGCTGCACCGGCTTTTTTCTTGGAGCAAGGCATGAAAGAAACCCTGGTTACACTCCTATTTGGACACCAGCACACATACCACAGGACATTCCTCCTTCATTAGAAGGATTCTCACTCCATCAAGATTGCTGAAAGACTGTCAGGAAATACTCCTGTGTAGTTCCAGTGATGCAATTAACTTCCTAGGACTAGGATACACAGCTGCTATCTAGTTTTCAACTGCCTTACTGCACCTCAGAGGCAGCTGTAAAACCTGTAAAGCAGTAAAATAAAAACTAAAAAAAAAGGAGGTGCAGATGTACTACAGAGACTGCTGCTAGTATTCTAAAACTGGGTTTTATCACCAGGAGCCTTAGAAGAAACATTTGCACAAACTTAATTACTAAAATTTAGTTATTTTTTGTGAGCCTTCTATCTCTTAGTCATCGTAGAAGATGTAATTTAAGAAAAAGTTGAACCAGTACTGCTAACAAAGTATTTGCAGTCCTGCATACCACTCTTCAAAGTACTACAAAAATTACCATGCATATCTTAGAAGATTTGTGCTACTTTAATTTAAGAATTAGAATCATGTAGCAAAGTTTAAAGAACGCTTGTAAACTCAAGGGAATGATAAAAAATAAAGTTTGAGCTGTATACACTCTAGAAACAACTGAAAAATTATTGATCCATCGTTACTTACCATTACTAAAACAATGCAAGAGTATGTTTGGAATATATGTATGTACAAATAAACAAATACTGAACTCTGTTGCAGGAGCTCCCCACCACAGGATGTAACATCCATCCACTATTACAGCTTCAGGAACATTAAATGTTATTACTAAATGTTATTATTTGCCTCTTTGATTTAACTAATTCCCTCTGGATGTAAACAAAACCCTCAACTTCAAGCCTAATTCCACTCTTGTAATTTAAGATCACACATGTACAAATGCATTACAAGCTGCAAAACCATCTATGGATGCTTCTAGTTTACATATTTTAGTGACCATCCAAGGGCAGCTACACAGGATATTTAAAAGAAAAAGTTTTCAGAAATCAGAAAGGAAAATGGGAAGTATTACGGAAAGGGATGGGAAACAAAGCACTAAATGAAAACAAAGCAAAGAAAAAAGGAGACAATATACATCGCTTATCTTTTCCTCTTTTTTTTCCCCAAACTTTAAGCAAATACTATACTTTGATTTCCCCCCTCATCAAAAGTGAAAATTTAAAAACATATGCATATTACTGTAAAACCACGTTCGAGCAACTATCCATTTTTAAAGCAAACAATTCCATTTTTTGCCGTAATTTCTCAAAACAGCAATTTTCAAACATTCTCTCCCAAACAACATCAAGCAGACCGGTAATTTCACCAAAACTGCTTCAGCAGTACGACGTGCTGAATTCCCTACACGCTGCTGCAGTCCAACATGCTGAACAGCTGCAAAGCTGCCTGACACAAACATTAGAAATGTAGCCCTATCTTTCAGTACCTCAACTTATTTTTCATATTGCAGATCTCTGTATGGGGAGAGAAACCAGGGCTGGGTATATCAGCAGCATTTGTGCCTGCATATAAGGAGACTTGAGGCAACAGCTTATCACACTTACAACTGTTTTTTTTTTATTTCTTGCCCTCCCAGAATAGAAAGAATTTGGGCAAGATAAGATTTTTTCCTACGGACAGTTGGAAGGATTCAAATATAAAAGTTCTGCAAAAAAAGTAGTTACGTGACTCCTACCATCAAACAAAATTCAGGCTGAAGTAACTGTGCTGCAATTAATATCAGCATGTTTAATACAGAGACGAGACAAGGTGCAACCATTTTCATTACAGCTGTTCTCCAGGTAACAGCTAGAGCATTTCCTTCTAGAATCAAAAGCTTATGTAAACACAACCAGATCGTATTTTGGCCATGATTGACCACTGTCTGCTTTAGAAGTTTATTTATTCAATGTAAAAATAACAGCCAGACTTTTGAAATGCACCTTATTGGAATGACAGCATACAGAGCACCACTGCGGTGAGACTTTAAGAGAAAGATTAGACGCAATTCAAAATTTAGAACCTGCTACAGGAACAACCCGTGCCTCTCCCGTTTCTCCTGCTCCCTACTTCCTATTGTTCCGCTCTTCAGCAAGTGATGCCATGTCACGGAAGAGGGAAACCTAAATGACAGTTTCATTCGGTCTTTCTTCAAAACGTTTATGCCAAGAAATTAATTTACTCAGGTCTAGAACAAGAACTGCTCATACACAAAAGGTGGTTTAAAGCATTCTAAAGCCCCAAATGCACGAGCAGACTTTGGCTTCTGAAGCAGCCAGCAAGACGACCCAAAATGGTGACTACAAGTAATAAATCATATTAAAAAAAAAAAAAAGGCATTGTTAAAAACAACAACAAAAAAACCCAGTTCTATGAGCCGATGATCAGGCTGAACGGTACAAGCGGCCACTAATTTACTCATAACGAGACTCCATTAAGGGAACGGTTTTCCTCAGGAGCAAAATTTGTTTCTCCAAGCCCACCCGCTACCGAAACGCGACTCCGGCACAGCGCTGAGGGGCTCGCAGTGACCCGGGGGGAGCCGGGCGCCGGCCGGCCGGGGATCCGGCAGGGCCGGAGAAAGGACGGCACCAACGGGGGGAGCGGGGGAAGGCACACGAGCCTGCGGGGCAGGAGGCGCCCGGGGGAAGGAGGGCGCAGGCGGGCCGGGGGTCCCGGGGGGAGCCGCTCGTTCGCTCGCTCACTCACCCGTCCTTGCGCTTGGCTTTGTAGACGTGCCCGTAGGTGCCCCTGCCCACCTTGCAGCCCTCGTACTCGAAGAGGTCCTCCACCCGCTCGCGCTCCCCGGTCAGCTTCACCTTGAAGTCATAGTCCATCTTGGGCGCCCGCCGCGATCCGCCGCCGCCCCCGGCAGCCGCGCCCCGCCCCGCCGCACACACCGGGCGGCGGCAGCAGCAGCAGCAGCAGGAGGAGGAGGAGGAGAAGGAGGAGGAGGCCCCCGCGCCGCCCCGCGGAACATCCAGCGGCGGGGCTGCTCCCTTCGCTCCGAGCCCCAGCCCCCGGCGCTCCCTCCCTCCGTCCCTCCCTTCCCCGCGCTAGGAGCAGCACCGCCGCCGGTCCCCGGGCGGGCTCTCGGGGCCGCGCCCGCGCGCGCTGCCGCAAACGGACGTCGCAAACCACGGGCACCTCCCCGGCCGCGGGCAGTGCACCACGTGGAAGGGGCCGTCCCGGCGTGCCTTGCAGCCGCACGCCGGGAGGTGTAGTACAGGCGGAGGGAGGGAGGCCGGGCCGCGCTGCATGCTGGGAGCTGTAGTTCGTGGGCAGGGCACGAGGGGCACGGGGCCCACCATCAGCAGCCACCGCGAGCCGCGCTCGGTCCCTTCCCGGGGCCTCGGCTACCGTGAATATCCCGGTCCCCGGCTCGATCCAGGCTGGCGAGGGCAGAGGTCCCTGCTCCTCTGAGCATCACTTAGCATCGCTATAATTAAGACAATTCCGTAACTATGAACATGGACAAAATCAGAGAATCACAGAATTTTTTTGAGTTGGAAGGGATCCATTAGGTTCATCGAGTCCAGCTCCTGGCCCTGCACAGGACCATCCCCAAGAGCCACACCATGCACCTGGGAGAGCTGTCCAAGCACTTCTTGAGCTCTGTCAGGCTGGTGCTGTGACTGCTTCCCTAGGGAGCCTGTGCTGGTGCCCAGCCACCCTCTGGGTGAAGAACCTATTTCTAATATCCAACCTAAACCTCCCTGACACAACTTCAGGCCATTCCCTCTGGTCCTGTCACTGGCACCACAGAGCAGAAATCAGTGCCTGCTCCCCTTTCTCCCTCCATGAGGAAGTTGCTGACTGCAATGAGGTCTCCCCTCAGTCTCCTCTGCTCCAGGCTGAACAGACCAAGTGGTCTCAGCCGCTCCTTCCCCATCTTGGTTGCCTTGCTTTGGACACTTTCTAATAGCTTAATGTCTTTCTTGTATTGTGGTGTCCCAGGCTGCTCACAGCACTCAAGACACAGATGGACATCCCAGCGCTGACAAACCTGCTCTGTGTGGCTGCTGAGACCAGTTAGGATGTGTGGCCGCATTTCTCTTCACAGAGAAAAGCAAGGCGCAGCTTCCCAAGGATATTTTCTGGGAATCACAGCGAGGAACCTCAGAGAAAGAAGAAGCACTTCTTATCTCATTTGCTGCGCCTGTGTTTGTGCAAAAATAGAATGCAATATGGAGATTGTTTACCCAAAGTTTTGGTGTTTTGTTTCCTTGGTTATCAGGGCCAAGCGCGTGTGCAGACTGTTGGTCAGCAGAGAGTCACAAGGTTCTGGGCAGCTGAGTGGAGTTGAGTCCTTGTGCAGATTCAGTTTAGATGTAATGTAATATAGTGTAATATAGCACAGAACAATATAGCATAATAAAGTAATTAATTAGCCTTCTGATATGCATGGAGTCCTCATCATCATTTCCTCCCTTCGTCAGGGTTGCCCTGCATTTTACTATCGGGATGTAATACAAAAACCCTTGTGTTTAGCAAGGCCCTTGTATGTGACCAGTAACTGGGCATTTCCCAATGCCCCTCCTTGGCTGACAGAGCCAGTCACCCACCCAACACAAAGTCAGCCAGTAATTTTGTAGAACAGGCAGCTTGGAACTAAACTAAAGCTACAGAAATCTCTACTTACAGCCCAGCTTTTGGCATTTTTAATAGTCATGCATGCATGCTTCACGTTTCATGTCAAGAATGCAGCACATTGAGTAAATAAGTAGGCACTCAAATCCCCCAACTTAGAGATATCAAAGAACGTGAGGGCCCCTGAAAGAAACAACAACATTCTGGAATCGTCTAAAATAATTTCAATTTTCAATTATAAGTCTTAATTTTCATTTACACATTAGCACTGAAAATTGGGGATTGTGCCTGCTTCCCAGGCTGGCATCACTCAATCAGACTCATGTCAGATGCCCACAGTTGGACTTTCAGTGTGTTGCTATGTAGTTGTTAGGGATATTATGTATGTTGAATAAAGCAATTAGGCATGTGTTAGAAAAAATAAGTGCAATTGAGAGAAGCAGCAAAATTACACTTTATTTGCCCAGCAACTCAACTAAATTTTAGAATGTTGCCCAGCACTTCACTATACCAACCAAACAGAAACAGGTCAGGGCAGCCCGGCAGAGATCAAACAATCTGGAAGATGCCATCCACTTCACAAAGTTCATCCATCTCAGCCCCATCTCTGCTTTCAGGGACTGCTTGGCTTTGGGGACTTTCAGGGACAGTAAGGGACCAAGCTTGCATGGCCAAACCCCTCTGGCCTGCTCACTACCCTCAGTCCTATCAGCAGGGAAGGTAGCGATAACCACACTTCTGTAACTTTGTACTCTTCTTTGTGTTATTAATCACTTTTTTGGGGAGGCAATGAACATCCAAACTCCTCCACATGGATCCAGTTACTGCATGGTAATAAATGGCTGGGATTAGACCAGCCCGAGCTGCAACATTGACAAACAATGTCTGCTTAGAAAGGAAAGAGATTATGAAGGAACACAAGAACAGACAATCCAGATTCATTTTCTGACGACCTGTGCTATGTTTCACATTTGCATAAAACATTTGGAAAGAATTCCATACTTTGACAAACTCTGAGAAATCAAAACCACAACCAAGATATCTTCTTTTCCAGATTGTTGGTCCTGTTCTAAGAATATTTACAAGTTTGCTTGAATGTTTCTTTCCTTAGTTTTACATACCATTTGAATTGTATGCCTTCCAGAATGAGTAGCTGTAAACCTGCTGCACCTTCACTCTGTTTTCACTTCAGGTACTTGCATTGAAACCACTGTTTGATTTTACCAGTTCAGACATATGGTCCCCAGCTCAAGAGATATTTGAAACAGAAAGCACACTTTGGCTCTTTTTATAATGAAAAATAAATATTGACATTTCAAGGTCAACTTTCAACTCTCTTTCATGGAAAGATGCATGCTTTCTGTGCTTAATTTTAAAAACCTGTCACAGTGTAATATAATTTCAAGGAAAAGCTTAATTTGTGGTCTGGTCTTCAAAAGACAGACACAGACACAATCAGGATCTGGTATTCTTGACTCTCAGGTCTCCATCCTCACAGTGGCCCTTTCAATTGAGAGGATTTCTTATCTCTTACTGCCTGTTTTCTATTCCCTTCTCTCATGCTCTCTCAGGACTCAGTTTAAAAATATATGCTTAACACATCCTGCTGAAGTTGGATTTTTGGAGCTTTCCTCTTTCTCTTTTTTCCTCTAAAAACATTCATGGTTTGCTTGAGCATATCCTTCTGTTCTGAGTTTGTGTAAATCCTAATGTGCCCAGAACACACACGCTTTTGACATTTTTTGGTCTGGCATCACTACACATGTGAAGGATGTCCAAGTTCTCCACAGGAAAGCCACTGTTACTATGTTAGCACTGGTAAGGTGCAGTGGGTTGGAGACAGTTATCAAAGCAAGCTGTGACCAGAGAGGACAGTAGTCAAGGAATGCTGACACCATTAAACATTTCTGAATGTATTTCAGGGAATTGTCTTTCAGGCAAAAGCCTGGATTGTCTGGGAACAGGCTGGATTGTGACAATAAGTAAATGCTGTCACCTGGGGTATGGGTGTGTGGAAGAAGTTTTACAGCGACTTCTGTGAGCCAAAATTTTGTGAGAATTTTGATAAGAGAATCCATGTTTACCCCTGAAAGAATTTCCTACCAAGGTCATTGACATAGAAACCAAGAAAGAGAGAAGGACAAATAAGAGAAATCTGCAACTGTCTATTTCAATAAGCACTTTGTCTTTCCTGACCAATGAGTAAAGTGTAAACTTATGTTTTGTAAGAATGGATAAAAAGCATGCATACTTTGAAGCCTTTTGAAAATGGAGTATTGCTTTGTATTGTGACCATCTCAACTACGACATGGGACCATCAATACTGAGAGCAAAGCTGGTTTTGGGAGGGGTTGACACGGGCAGTCTCTTGGTGATCCTCCGGCCAGCTCCCACCTCCTGGCCCTGGCCCATGCCAAGAGTGCCAAGAGATTGACATGGGGAGTGACATAAAATTAGGTGAGAAAATAGTAGTGAACAACTTCAGGGCAAAACCTTTGAGGAAACTGAAGGGGGTACATGGAACAAACCACTCTAAACGTGCAATAAGGAGCACCTTAAGATTACAACAGAAAAGCAATCTACCCCAAGGGGTGTGGGTTTGCATACTTGTGGCCATGGTGTTAGTGCTAGAGTCAAAGTTTGTGAAGCAAAGCTTACAGCTGGGAAGTGTACAATGAGCTACTTGCTTTTTGTTTTGTAGTCTTCAAAAATAGAATAAAAATAAAGAAAAGTAAACTTTAATATTTTTGCTTTCTCATCTATGTATTTTATAAGTAGATAACCTACAACAGTCTCCCCCTGCCATTAGAGTGTCTGCTCATTCCACTTATTAATTTGCCTAATTTGAGCATACTTTTGCTTTTCAGAAAGCTTTTCATGAAGCTGTAGCTACCTGCTAAAATTTTCCCATAATTCTTTAGTGGTGACTGAAGTGTTCCCAGCTTGGTATTGACTGAAAAAGTGCAGTCCTGCTAAGTGCTATACATCTTCCATTTTTTGTTTCGTCCAGGGAAAGCTGAAGGCAAGACAATAATCTGGTGGCACTTTTTCCTTTTCTGTATGTAAAGAAAAACTAACTGTCATACTTGCACAGTCTGAGTATTTTTCAGAAACTTTGCAATTTTTATGAGCAGATGAGCGAGCTGAGTAGTGGCAGCACTTAAAAAAGCAGTTTATTTAATACAGATAACTAAAGTGCTGATTCTACAAACAGTTTCCTCTGTAAAGCAATGTGTTGGACTTTTTTCCACTCAACTATA